AAAAGGAATTCGACGTTTCCATCGAGGAGTCCGGCTAGGAGTATATCAGTATTACAAAAAAACCATACAGGTTGCCGTAGGAGGCCGCCTTGCAGGGAACAGAAAAGTTAAAAGGCCCCATGGCATGAGACCAATAGTGTTTGCGTCCCTTGCGTGAACGCAATATTTTGAGCAACAGTGGTCTGCAAAAGAAGGTCAAATGGTGGGCGTGAAGGTTGCTCGCTAGAGTGACTCGATGATCACTGGTATTCCAGGTAGTGCTGATAAACCTATCGTAGATACTTGAAAGCTCAGAACTCATGAAATCAAATCCAAACATGAGCTTACATCTTCTATTGCATAGAAAATCAGTGGATATCGCAAGCGATTACTACCCAGAAAAAGAAAAGTGATTGCTTTGAATAGTTATTCACGTGTTGTTTTGACTGTTAGCGATGAGGTCCGTCGTCTTTGATTGGCTACCTCACCTCCTGATGATTTTCGCGTCAACTGGAGCGTTCGATTTTCAGAGCTCTTTTATACTAATCGTGTAAAAATGGAATAATGTTGACATAGCCCTAGCATACGATCAGAAGTGTTCAGCAATATACACGCTTTCGTTGGTTCGATCCAGACTGAGCCATCATGGTCGTCAAATTGATATAAGATTTCAGTGGTAGGATAAAAAACGACGACTTTATTCATCAACGGAGTCATCGTTACTAATTGCATAGGCTAAATATAAATTTAGTCACCTCCACGTTGCTCGATGAAGTCGGAGGGAAGGGATATTGCCCAATGGTTGATGAACGCAGAGCGCCTCATCGTCTACCGTTTTAGTCGAGAAATATAAGTGAATCTGTCGTGGTGGAGCCGTGCAGCCTATTGGCTTAATCCACTCTCTCTATCTTCTATTCTGTGTGAACCTACCATGTGGTTTTTGGTGACCAGCCTTCGTTACCCTAGTGATGACTCCAGTGTGATTTTAGGTGTGTTTTATGTTCTTTTAAATCTGCTATCAACGCTGGATTTTCGACCCACCGAATGAACATTGCTCGCGATGTTTTGCTACCACCCATATTTCTGGAATATGCCGTCTCTGTTAAGGATACACATATGTTGGATCTAATGAAATCTAGTCTCCTTGCTTCTACAGGTGATGGTACCAGACTGTTAGTGAACGGCGTTGATCGATTAATTCGTGGTGATAACAAATATTGTGGATGTTTTTAGGAATTTAAAAACGAAACTGAGACTTTTATGAACACCAGAGCAATAGCCGTTGCGCCTTCATGTACACTGTGCAAGTCCCCAAACGATAACTCTAGCGATAATAAGGTTCCGTTTTTCGCGCCCTTCATCTAAGAAAAAATAAGTGAAGCTGTAAAACGTTGCTTAAAGAAGGCGGATCTAGAAAATTTGGTAACACCAATCGAAATATCACCGAGCACTCTGGGACGCTAGCTACTTCGAAACCGACTGTGTGACCATCTGTGTGCGGCACAAAACTGTATAATATGCTCCAACGGTAGAGACGGTGATTATATCAATGAGGGCACATTTTATCTGACCTCTTGTAAAGCATACGAGGAGGAATACATTGGGGAAAACCGGTAACACTCTGCATCCGTGTAAAAGAACACCTAGTCGGCAAACTTAAAGTAGAGCACTACTACCACTACTACTCGTACTACCACCCATATACTCCACTGGGCTCGCACTGCACACGACACAGAGACAGAACGGGAAAGATTTTGAAGTAGAGCTTAACATCCTTGCGCACGAATACAGAACGCTAGACGGTAAAACTCTCGAGACATTGTGGATAAATTCCAAGAATCTAAAATGAACTGCAAACCGTAGTGCCTCGTAATCAATGACGCGTGATCTCACACAGGATTTAAGAGTGTTGTTTTAATGTGAGAGGCACATTGCTCTTCAATGTGAACTCTGTGTAGTTGGTTTCGACGTGACATACTCAGTGGAAGGCTTATAGAAAACGCTGAATATGCTAAAGAACTATGATTTTTTTAACTTGCTTGAAACCTTGGTTTAGCACTTTTTCTGTTTTGTTATAGATGTGTTAGGAAAGCTAGATTACAGTCATCTTGATCCTTCCAGGCTCTGAGAAAAGCGAAGCGAAATCCGAAACGTCAGCTTCATCATAATAAAGAATAAAATAATACCCCGTGTTTGCTCAACAAAAATGTGAAGAGTTATTTGACAAATGTTGAGGTTGATGGAAAGTTTTGTCGTGAAAAGGTATTTGGATTTGTGATCTTTAACGATGCGAAATAGCTGTCTTAAAGAATCCATGTGCTTCGAACCTAGTGGTTCTTTAAGGTTACCCTACATCACCCGGTTCTCTTTTAATTTCGTCCTATTTTTCTTCTTGGGACTTAATTCTTCACCGAACAACGATGTTCCTCCGAGAGCTGATTTTTTTTTTCTAAGAATACAGAACGTTATATATGAAGAGCAAGAGAGCTGCCACAGAACACTGAATGAATATTATATCCAATTTGAGAGTATAGATGGGATTTTGGCCACGATAACAACATTTGAACTGAAACGCAGTCTAGTTTTTCATTGAAGAGCCATACACCTAACACTTGGCTCGTTTTAATTTAAATAATTTAAAAAATTCGCCACATAGGTTTGGTCTTAACTGGAATTCTGGATTGGATGTGAGACATTGCCGGTAGAAATCTGTGTTTGCATCAAAATCGTCTACATTTGCAGGATTCACTTACAAACCAATCATGGTATTCCTTTATCGAACATGCAGCGATTGATGTTTGTGATAAACTTCTAGTAGAATAACACGGACCCAAAGATGAAACTCTAGCTAAATATTCATGAATACACCATGAAAGAAACTGGATAGCGGTTAGTCCTGGACTTTACGGACAATCTACGCTGGCATCTACAATTCTGAAAGTTAGGTAGAGGGTAAAAGCCAGCTTGGTTTTCGAATTTAAAATTTCTT